GGTAATTAATGAACAGCTGTGGGAATAAAAATATAAGTTTGGCCTCTAGGATAACTAATGCAGACAAAAATGAATCAGCCATATTGACAAGTATATATGCATTCAATCATTAACACAGATGAGAATGGCAGCATTTTTGTCCCATTACTCCTGGTATCATAGCAACCACATGCAACCCGGCTCACATTAACATCCAATTAATGCATTACAACAATGTCTGTCAGATGTTGTCGTCGCATTTAATTTGCACAACACCACATACAGTCAAAGGATAGGAATATACATATGCACGAGTCATTATTAAAACAAGGGGCCCAGACGGCCTATATCGCTCACCAAGATAATAACCAACCAAAAGAAAATATTCTTATCAAATAAATTCTCGTATAATACTGCAACTGTTTACAAATATTGACTCTGTCTCTCAGTAACACCCGTCTATCATTAGGTCCCTTCTTTCTTCCCCCGTGTGAATTGCGGTGTATTTAATCATTTACCTCAATTTTCCCTATTAGGCCCTGCCCCTCTGCCCCCAAAAAGCAACGCTCCATTAATACAAAATTGAGTCCCCTTTGCCCAAGGATGCTCTAAAACAAAAATTTGGTTTAAATCCCCCATATCAAATAAAGGAAAAGAATTTGAAAGCTTCACCTCAATTTTCCCAATATTCAGGAGTGAAGCTGAGATATTCAATGTGTTTAAGTACATGTACAGGATGGCTCACAGAAAACTCAACTTTCTACCACGTTTAATTATGCATCACCCTATCAAGCTTTGCACAATACTTTATCCTAATAAGCCTGGTGGCCATGAATGCATCATGAATCCATTGGTGATTATTGCAATATATTTACATTTGCCCCCGCGCCGTCCCATTACAACAGTGTTAGAGGGCAAGTGTAATTATATAGGCTATAATTACAACTGCTCGACTATAATTACAACTGCCTGTTTCAGGTGTAGGAATATGTAAACAAACAAAATGGCCGCCTGAAATGTATTTTGGGGCAGGGCAAATGGTTTTTGTAGGAATATGTCTTGAAAAAGAAAAATATGTAAATATAAAAAATACCTGGTTGTCTGGATGTAATTATTGTTGATATATAATTTCAATTGGCCTCTGGCAAATCTGCCATAAAACCCTAGCGGGGTTTATAATTATATCAACAATAATTACATCCAGACAACCAGTTATTGTTTAAATAACATTTTTATAAAGAACTATTCTATGCATACAAGACATGTGAGGGTAATGCTGACACAAGCTTGTGACACATTCTCTAGTGGTAACTGATATATCTACCACTGCTACAGGTCACCTTAACCCTTTCAACCCTAGGTAACTTTAGTAGACTCTACCATATATTTAATCATTATAACACACACACACCCCTATAACCCCCAGTATTATAATACCACACCCTGTCAACAGTTAAACCTCTGCTTTCCCTGTAACCCCAGTATTTTAATACCACACCCTGTCAACAGTTAACCCTCTGATACCCCTGTAACTCCAGTATTATAATACCACACCCTGTCAACAGTTAAACCTCTGATATCCCTGTAACTCCAGTATTATAATACCACACCCTGTCAACAGTTAAACCTCTGCTTTCCCTGTAACCCCAGTATTTTAATACCACACCCTGTCAAAAGTGTTCAAAAAATCTAAATTGCCCAATATGAAAACAATTTCTATTCTATACAGAAAGTGAAGTGTTATGAAACTAGACCCTTGGAGAGAGTTAAAGTAGGGGTATCCCATATCTGGTAGTGTTAATTAGCTGTGAGGCACTACACCCACTGATGATTGTGACCACAAGTGAAGAAGGAAGAACGAGGAGGTCACAAGCACTGTATCAGACATCTACACATCTGGCTAACTCATGTGGTACAGACACATCCTGACTCCATCATACGATCATACACCCTTGACTGATTCAACTGTTTATGATCCCAGCTGGACACAAACTGACCACAGTTTGAAGCCAGTTTCCAGTTGCTGTAGACTGAAAGTCTCTCTGGACAGATCATTAATAAAGTCATGCTCTCTTACTCCTTTTTACTTGAATCTGACACATTTATTTTTTATAAAAACACTTTGAATTGAACTGAAATTCAAAGTTCTAAAATCAGTTGCTGGGTTTCAAAGTTTGTCACTAAAAGAAAAGGCATTGAAGGCCTGTATCACTGACCCAGATATGTAATCAACCATCTTCGTTATCAGCAATTCTGTATGTTGTTATTGAGATGGAATCTCAAGTGTTTCCATGTTACGACCCAAGTGATAAGACCCTAAGGTTGGGGCTGGGGGTTGAAGACCCTAAGGGTAGGGGCTGGGGGCAGAAGTCCCTCAGGGTAGGGGCTGGGGGTAGAAGACCCTAAGGGT